GGCATTTGGTAATTTAAGCCACAAAGTGACAAACAGATTTCTGCTTGCTACAGCATTAACTTGTTGGGGTAGATGGAGAGGGAGAGGAGGTTACTGCATTAGTCCAGGCAAAAGATGAGGGTAGAGGCTGGAAGACAGTGGTTAGAGAGATAGGGCCTGTGAAATCCCCAGGTTCCAGGATAATCAAGATGCCACAATGACCATCATAGAAGTCTCCTGCTCACTGGCTTTTACCCCAACCAGGATGATCTCAAACAGGTAATGCAGGCCGCACCTGCTTATTACTGGGCAACATCCCACAATTCCCACATGGGTGCAGGGCAGGGTCTATGTAGGTGAAGGACCCCAGATTAATACCCCATTCTGGGTGACTTCCTGCATGGCCTCAGCCTAATCTCTTCCCTGCTTGGGCCTCAAGTTTCCCCAACAGTGAGGGCTGATTGGACAAAAGCTGGGAGCTCTAGGAGTTACTCTACACCAACTGGAGCTACCAGACTGGGGGTCCCAAAATCTCTCTGCAGAGCCCCCAGTCACAGCTGGCCCTCTGCCCCAGCTCACAAGCAACTTGGAGATGTATGCCTTCCAGTATGAGAGCAAGACCAGTTCTAGTGACAGCACAGTTGTCCTCTACCTAGAGAAGGTGAGAAAAGCTTAGTGCTGTCCTCCAGAGGCCTGTGGGTAGCCCAGGGGGTGGAGAACCTAGGCAGTCCCTTGGGCAGAATTTGCAGAGAGAGAAGCCCTCTGTGGCCAGCTCCTCTGGCTGGGATGTTTGTGTTCAAGTCCACGTGGTCAGTGGTCATGACAATGCTCATGGCCAAGGCCTTGTGATCAGTACTCCATGGCCAGTGGCCTTGGCCACCTCGACAAGACCCTTCTCCCTCCAGCTCTCCCATAAGACACAGTGCTGGGTTTCAGGGTCCACAGGATGCTTCAAGCAGACTTTCTGCAGGCAGCCAGGTCAAGCCTTGGGTGGAGGGGAAGGGCCAGGAGCCAGGGAATGAGGGACAGGATATAGCCAAGAGAGACCTGGGCAAGGGTGGCTGCAAGGGATGTGGCCTTCTTGGGTGACCTAAGTAGGCAGGGCCAGGAAAAACCCGAAAAGGGGCTGGGTACAGTCTGCCAGGAATTGAGGTGGGGCAAGAAGGGGTGTGGACTGCAGAGGAAGTTGGCTGGGCAGAGCTAGAAGGGGGCGGGGCTAGAAGGAATCTTGGAAGGAGTGAGACTGTTGAGGGCGGGGCCAGGTGGGAACCAAGACACCCTCACCCCACCCCACCCCACCCCCCGGAAACTTTCCCACAGAGCCATCTTCCCTGAGTAAGATCTGCCACAAAGACGTCTGCAGATGTGCAGAGGGTGAGATGTGCTGCAAGGGTTAGCCCCAGGCAGAGGGCTGGGGCTGCCAGGCTGGGGGAGCAACATCCCACCCTTCACACCTCTTTCTCCTGGCTGCCATCTGGGCTGAGTCTAAACAGAGGGACAGAAAGGGAGGGAAGCCTACAGATCAGAAAGGCAGCCACACCCACAGACCCAAGAGTGGGTGAAAGGCCTGGGAACAGATGAGAGGGTGGGCAGACAGGAGGAAGTCCCCTCCCTAGTGCAGCCTAGAGCAGCAACCTGCCTGAACCTCCAGATCAGTGCCCATCCTCAAGGAAGGGCAGCAGCTGGCTGGGGCAGGAGGATCTCCAGGCAGCAGCCTATGAAACTGGTGTGGACTTTGGTGAGTGTGTGGAGCTGCAAGAGGGAGGTGGAGCTGACCTCCAGGCTGGACACCAACACAATCACCTCCTTCCTTCCCTTTTCCCCAGTATACAAGGTCAGGCTGGAATCTGCAGAGGTCTCAGCCTCCAACCCCTACATCTACTACAACATGCAGCTCCAAGTCATCATCAAGAGTGGTGTGTCAGAAGTGACAAGGGAGGGTGCAGGGGGCCCTTCCCTAGAGTCCCAGTGTGGGGGACAGCCTGGAGGTGCAGCGGGCTATGCACTGTCACACACTGAGTTTCCTCCAGGAACGGACCCTGCCATACCCCTCACTATGAAGAAATTTGTCTCACACGTCACCTGTCATGATTCTCTGGGCTTGCAAGAACAGGAATCATACCTCATAATGGGCCAGACATCAGACCTGTGGAGAGTCAGATTTAAGTATGGGAGGGGACTTCCATGCCTGGGGACTCAGGCCTGGGCTCTCTTCCTTACCACAGCCCAGCCTTTACACAATTTCTGTGGGACTGCCCTGAATGGAGGTGGAGGTTGTGCATGGCATAAGTCCCGGGACTACCATTCACACAGAGATGATGTGGGCATTTGTTACTTCGGTTTTCCAGGAAAGCACAGTAAGGAGTCAGAGGAAGGGAAGTGTTTTCTAATCCCAAGCTGTATGAGCTAGAACAGAGAGGGCCCAATGGAGTGGATACTACAGGCTAAGGCTCTAGAAGACCATCAGGCCAGGCAGAGGGACAAAGCAAGGAGCTCCCTGAGCCCTCAGGGGTAGCAGGTCCTCCTTAGCCTTCTGCTATCTCCTGCCCACAGTTACACCTATGTCCTGGGCAAAGAGACGTTCCTCTTGCTATGGCCATCAGAGAGAGATGTGAGCAAGAAGGAATCGCTGGACCAGCTGGAGGGGTTTTCAGAATATATGTGCACCCATGGCTGTGAGTCCTGACACTCCGAGGCAGGGCTCCTCAAACTTTTTAAACAGGGGGCCAGTTCAGACCATTGGAGGGCCGGACTGCAGACCCCAGGATGAGTCAGCTTCTAAGCAGGACAGGCAGGGGCAGCAAAAACACCCAGCGGGCCAGATAAATGTTCTTGGCGGGCTGCATGTGGCCCGCAGGCCGTAGTTTGAGGACGCCTGTTCTGAGGCCTCTGAGGCTCTCTAGGAGGTGTCTCCAAGCAGGTCTGGGCCACTGGGCTTAACTCCAAATAAAGAGGACAAAATATGCCCAAATTCTGGACATTTGTTTCTGCTCCAATTTTCAGCAGGAGCTCTGCACAAACTGCCCTGACATGGCATGGACCTTTCTCCTCTCCGTCTCCCCCTTTCTTCTACTGGCCTTTTTTCAGTGTTTCCAACACTCAAGTTGATTCCCACCTTAGAGCCTTTGCACTCCCTTTCTCTCTTCCAGGTTTGCCTCTCCAAATTATCTGCATGGCTTTGAACCTTTCCCCTTGCCTGGGCTCTATTTAAATGTAACCTCTTCAGACCAGGTGTGATGGCTCATGCTATAATCCTAGTAACATAGCAATCTAAGACAGGAAAGCCACGTGAGACCAGGAATTGGAGCCCAGTCTGGGCAACATAGCAAGACCCCATCTCTCCAAAAAGTAAAATTAAAAATTAGCAGGGCACAATGGTGTGCAACCACAGTTAGTCCCAGTTTCTTGGGAGGCTGAGGTGGGAAGATTGCTTGAGCCCAAGAGTTCAAGGCTACAATCTCATCACTGCATTCCAGCTTGGTTAACAGAGCAAGACTCTGTCTCTTAAATATAAATAAATAGGGGGTGGTGCCTGTGTTTCAGGGAGTAGGGCGCCAGCCCCATATACTGAGGGTGGTGGGTTCAAACCTGGCCCTGGCCCAATTGCAACAAAAAAATAGCCGGGCGTTGTGGTGGATGCCTGTAGTCCCAGCTACTCGGGAGACTGAGGCAAGAGAATCACCTAAGCCCAGGAGTTGGAGGTTGTTGTGATGCCACAGCACTCTACCGAGGATGATAAAGTGAGATTCTGTCTCTAAAATAAATAAATAAATAAATAAGGCTCTGCGCCTGTGGCTCAAGCAGCAGGGGCACCAGCCACATACACCTGAGCTGGGCAGGTTTGAATCCAGCCCCGGCCCACCAAACAATAATGACGGCTCCAACCAAAAAATAGCCAGGCGTTGTGGTGGGTGCCTGTAGTCCCAGCTACTTGGGAGGTGGAGGCAGGAGACTCACTTGAGCCCAGGAGTTGGAGGTTGCTGTGAGCTGTGCTGCCACTGCAGTCTACCCAGGGCGATAGCTTGAGGCTCTGTCTCCAAAAATTAAATAAATAAATAAATAGAGCAGTACCTATGGCTCAGTGAGGAGGGTGCTGACCCCATATACTGAGTGTGGTGGGTTTGAACCAACCCCTGGCCAAACTGCAACAAAAACAGCCTGGCATTGTGGTGCGTGCCTGTAGTCCCAGCTACTTGGGAGGCTGAGGGAAGAGAATCACCTAAGCCCAAGCTGGAGGTTGCTGTGAGCTATGATGCCACAATACTCTACCAAGGGTGACAAAGTGAGACTCTGTCTCTAACAAATAAATAAATGTCATCTCTTCAAAGATACTTTGTTTCATAACATATCTAAAATAAATACCTTCCCATCACTCTCTCTCTCCTTGCCCTGTTTTATCCCTTAATAGCACTTATACATACATTGTACATGATATTTATTGGTTTGATCATGATGTTGTGGCTGCCACAACATCAGCTCCTTAAAGACAAGGGTCACATTTGTCTTGTTCACTGTAATATTCCCAGTTTCTATGGGAATAGTGGCTGGCACTCAGTAAGTACTCAGGAAATGATTGGTGGATGAATTGATGAATGATGAATGAATTTGGCAACCACGCTGCACTTGGCCCTAATAAATTACACTTGCCCCTCTTTGAGAGTCTTGTAGTGATATAAGCTCTGGTGGGGACGCCCAGGCAGCTGGGGAACCAAGACAAGACACAGTAAGGCTCAGTGAGTTTCATCAACATGGGCTGGGGTGGGAGTGGGAACCTGCCAAGCTAAGACAGCAGCCCATGCATGTGAGCAGGAGAGGAACTGGCCAGCCCTGAGGTGGAGAGAGGCAGCTGGCTGATGGGTGGAAACTGAGTCAGTTGCAGGAAACATGGAGAGGAGGCTGGGGCTACAAGATAGCAGAGCAGTAGCTGCCTGAGTTCAAATTCAGCCTCTACCTCTTTCAGGCTGTATGACCTTAGCCTAGTTACACACCTCTCTGTGCCATGGTTTCCTCATCTCTAACATCATATCCCTCAAAGAGTTGCGAGTTCTTGGGACACAATTAGTGTCTAATAAATGTTCGCCAGCCTTATCAGGCAAAATGCTGCAGGAAGGAAGTGGAGATACTAGAATCCACAGAGCAGCCAGAAAAGAAAACCAATCACCACAAAACCCACTCAAAACCCTCCCAGGCTCCCATTGCTTTGAATTTGGCCCTCAAGGCCTTGCACTGTGGTCCTGTCACCTCCCCCCATTTCAGCCATCCTGATCTCCTCATGATTCCCAGAAACCCCAAGCTCTTCCCTGCCTCCAGCCTTGGCAACTAGTCCCTCTGTCCAGAACATTTTTCCCATGACTGCTTCCCCCCTCAACCTTGAAATCTCCACTCAGAGAGGCCTTCCCCAGTCACCCCGGCTAAGTGGGTTAGGACTGTTGGCCTGGGATTCTCTCTCTCAGCAACCCTTGTTTTCCTCAGTGAAAATGTCACAGGTACTTAGTTAGATTCTAGATTCTTTGTCTATGCTTTGCTGTCTCCCCTGCTGGGCTTGGAGAGCCTGGAAAGAAGAAAGGCTGTCTATCTTAGTCATATTCTTATTTTGCTGAATGAATGACTGAAGAAGTAGAGTGAAAGAGAGTGAGAAGGAAGAAAGGAGAGAAGGGAGAAGAAACAAAGGAAGGGAGGGAAAGGAGGAGGGGGGAGATGGAAGGGAGAGAGGGAGGAAAGAAAGAAGGAAAGAGATCTGGCTCAGGGCCTGTTCCTGTGCAGCCCTCAAGCTAAGAATTTTTCTTTTTTCTTTTTTTTTTTTTTTTTTTGCATTTTTAAAGAGTTAGAGGAAAAAACAACAACAAAGACGACTGTGCCACAGAGACCCTATATGGCCTGAAAACCTTAAATATTTATTATCTGGTAGTGCATTAGTCATCTATTCCTATGAAACAAATCACCCCCAAACTCAGACTTCAAACAATAACTATTTATTATCATTTCATTTCTGTGGGGTAGGAATCCACACACAACAGCTTAGCTGGAAAGTTTTGGCTGAGGGTCTCTTATGAGGTTATAGTCAAGGTGTCATCTGGGGGGGCCATCACCGGAAGGCGTGACTGGGGCTGGAGGACCTACTTCCAAAGTAGCTCACTCACAAGCCTGGCAAGTTGGTGGGGGTCAACTCGGGGGAACTCAGGGCTGCTTGAGCATCCTTACAATATGGCAGCTGGCTTTCCCCAGCTAGTATTCCAAAAGAAAGATCAAGGAAGGAGCCACAGTGTCTTTTACAATCTAGTCTCGGGAATCACACACCATCATTCTGCACATCCTATTGGACACATAAGCCACCACTATTCAGTATGGGGTGAAGACTACACAGAGCATACCAAGACTAGGGTTCACTAGGGGCATAAATCCCATTTGGCTGTGGTGTATAATGTGCTGTTGAATTTGATTTGCTATTATTTTATTGAGTCTGTAATTTTGCTGGGGTATCATTGTCTGGCTTTGGCATCAGGGTATGCTGGTGGCAAAGGATGTGTTGAGAAGTATTCCCTCAGGCAGGGCACAGTGGCTCACACCTATAATCCTAGCACTCTGGGAGGCCAAGGTGGGTAGATTGCCTGAGCTCAGGAGATTCCGACCAGTCTGAGCAAGAACAAGACTCTGTCTCTAAAAATAGCTGGACATTGTGGTGGGGGCCTGTAGTTTCAGCTACTTAGTAGGCTGAGGCAAAAGAATCACTTGAGCCCAAGAGTTTAAGGTTCCTGTGAGCTATGACAGCACAGCACTCTACTGAGGGTGACAGAGCAAGATTCCCCCCCAAAAAAGTGTTCCCTCCTCTTGTGTCTTTTAGAAGCATCTAAGAACTTGTACTAATTTTTCTTTAAATAAAGAAAATCCTCTTCCAAGGCAGGAGGATTGCTTGAGCTCAGGAGTTGAAGACCAGACTGAGCAGAGCAAGACCTCCTCTCTATTAGAAATAGAAAAATTAGCCAGGCATAGTGGCAGGTGCCCGTAGTCTCAGTTACTCAGGAGGCTGAGGCAGGAGAATCACTTGAACCCAGGAGCCTAAAGCTGCTGTGAACTAGGCTGATGCCACAGCACTCTACCGAGGGTGATAAAGTAAGACACTGTCTCAATAAAAAAAAAAAAAAGTATTAAAAGGGTACAAATATTTTTTGTTTCATAGATTGCTTTGATACTGCTCAAGTGATGGTTACAAATGTGGCCGTTACCCAGAGAGTGTTCACTGTTCCCCTTAGGTAGGTTTTCACCCATTCCCTTTTCCTCACTCTTCCTGCTTGACTTCTGTTGAGTTTTATTTCCTTCTATGCACATGTGTGCTCATTGATTATTCCAATTTAATAGTGAGTACATGTGGTGTTTGTTTTTCATGCTTTAGATATTTCACTTAGAATAATGGGAATCAACCCAATTGTTGTGAGGTGTTTGATTACTGATTCTAGCCACTTACTTGTTTTGTTTTGTTTTGAGACAGAGTCTCAAGCTG